GTTACCCGCGAAACCTCTGGAGCCCGATGTCCGGCAGCAGCCGTAGAGATGGTGTCAGGCCCCTTCTTGTATAGAAAGATGCAAACAAATCAAACAGTGCGACGCGTTCGAGTTCCGTGGTGTAACTCATCCGTTTTCATAGAACGTTGCTCCTTGCGCTCCTCGTGAACACGCAGATTTTGCAGGGGGTCAAACTCGTCTTGGAACGAATTGCAACAAAAGTGATGCGTCAGCAGGTTGTTGGGGTTTTTTTCCACCGGAGGCACACTCAAGTTCACATTGTTGCAAGGACGATGCAGTGTCACTGCGCTCCCCCCGCCTCCCCCGCCTGTTCTACAGATGGTGCTGTGGCACCTGGCGTGCTAGCACTGAAATTGTCACCTGCTTGACTGCTGGACCGGTGCTGGTTTGTGCAGTGGGCACAGTGGCACAGCCAGTGCATGACTGTGCATTACGTGCTGACTTTTATCCTTGATTCCTGCAACTGGATTTTATCTCAACTTTCCTTAATGTTTTCCTGTGTTAGCAGTATTACAGTTTCTGTAAGCATGGAAAGTGTTTCCATGCATAAGCATCTTTACACATCAGGTAGAAGCTGGTGTATGCCATGTGTGTTCTACCACCATTGAGGTAACTGTAAGTGAGCCAGAGAGATAAATTACACCAGAATTAGAAAGGGGCTTATGCTGAGGAAATTTTCAAACATATAGCAAGTTTCAGATGAAAATACTGACATAGAGATGTGCGTGAAGACTACTAACAGTGGGTTCTGTACTTGATTTTGTATTTTAATGAATACATGGAAAGACTTACTAAGCTAGGCTTCGTGCTAAGTCATTCTATGTTTTATCTTAATATCTTCTGCAAATTCACATGCAGATTTTGATGTGAATACTAAAGCATGCATATCCAAGAATCCTGCAGAAGATAAAGGTGAGAATTATGGATAATTGAGGCAGTGAAATTAGATTAATATTGTGCTTGCTAAATGGTTCAAACTTCAGTCACAATCAATATGTGGACTGATTAAACTTATAATGGGTCAAAATATGAAGAAGGCTCTAATTAAAGCAGGTTGAATCTGTCTTGCGTGTTCTTACTAGTCACGGGCTTGAGGAAAGAGAAGGTAGGCTATAGATGAAAGGATTAGAAGCATGTGTTGTTCCTATATATGCAGCTTTAATCCAGTGTCATGATAGCATTATGGACTGGCTGATGATGATAGAATGATGTAAGTGATAATCTTGTTAATTTATCTATAAATGTTATGATAAGCTGACCTCACTAAAGAAGGAGCTTCCTTAGATCCTTTTCCACGTGTGCACATGGAGAGACTGAGAGCACTTTAGCAAGAGTTGCCTTGTTCATATCTTTTGGTGTCAAGATGTTCCTGCTTGCTGGAAATAGAGCCAGCTTTAAGACAATGAAGTCGTATCGGTGTTACTCTACTGTGTGGAAAGGATCTAATCTAAGGACTCTTAAGTAAATAAGGGTTGTTAAATACCTTGTATGGTCAAAGGAGAAAGAAGCAACTTGAACACACTGAATTTTGACATTTTCTTCTGTATGGAAAACATAGCTTTTTGTATCTTGAAGTTCAGTGCTAGCTTAAAGATGGTTTGAGTGGACCAAGAGTGTAGTTATTCAGAGGACTTAATCTTGTGGGCAGGGAGGGGTGCAGTACAACCTAAATTCAGCTTGAAGAGACTTCATCTCTTTTGGCTGGTTTTTGCCAATTTTACCTAGTCATACGTCATTTACTACTTGTTCTCTTTTGCATTCAAGTGGACTGAACAGTTGAATCCTGCTTTCCTAACCCCCACACCTATGGGAAAGCTGACTGAAACAGGCTCTCCAATTTTTAAGTTCATTTTAGGTGATCTTGTCCACTGCTCTCTCCCCTCCTTTAAATATGCCTTTATTCCACAGGAGGTGGAAGTGGTAGTGTCAGGTTTCTCAACTCTTGGGGCTGTTGGAAAGACACCTGAACTTTGTTTCTTTCAAAATTTGGACATGAAAAATTTCAAGTTCTGTTGTCCCCGTGTGTGACAAAGCGACCTAGGATGCCCAAAGCTCTCCAAGACTGAGGTGGTGTAGACCCTGACAGAGGCATTTCAGATCATCGGAGAGGTGCTGAGAACTCCTCCCCTGTTGCAGTTTCTTTGAGTTCTCAACTGAGGTGTCCTGAACCCTGCTATATTAATGCTTCACTGATCCTCAAATGGATCCAATGATCCAGGAACCTCTCTTTGAGACGTCAGAGGCCCCGCTGGACTGTGTCCTGGCTCCTGCAAAACTCAGACAACCCAACTTACCACAAATAGCAATCTCGCCCATCCCAAAACTTCAGATCAAAAAATTCAAAGATTTACTTCCAAGAATCAAAACTGTCAACTTTATAATAAATGGGCTAATCCATCCAGGCAAATTCTTAGTCCATTTGTATTTCACACAATAAACCCTCGTTGAGTACATACAGCAAAAACACATTGAGCAAGATCAAGTAAATGACTTAACATGATTTTGTGCCCTGAATAAGATGATTTTTGGACTTCAGTGTTATGATTAGAGGTATTTTAAGCACACTTATGAGGAATGAATACTCCCAAAGAATATGGAAAACCACTGCTGAAGAAATATGACTGTTTTGATGTTGTCTGCTAAACACAGCAAAACAATCTGATCCAGCATATACCTAGAGATTCTGTATGTAATTTTGAAATTATTGAACACCTTAATGTAAGAATTCAGTTCAGATTTTATAAAACAAAATTTCACACTCAGTTATCCTCTGTCTTTTTTTTTTTCTCCAAGCTCACTTTCTCAGCCTTCCAGGCCAAGTGAAGGTGCTTCACTGCTTTAAGGCACAAGCGATTGTTTGACGGTGTGAGGAATACGACTGGCATAATAGTCATAATTTCTCAAAGTGGCAAGGACCCCAGCTGAATTCATGTGTTTTACTTCCTTGTTATACTGAAATGAATTTCCATGGATATCAGTTATCTTGCCTGCAAAAAAAAAAAAAGAAAAAAATATTCCAGCAAACAGGAGTTGGAGAGAGATTATCTATTTTATTAGTACAAGTGATATAACTAAAAAAACAGTCAGTCTTTGGCATACACATGCCTGTCTTCAGATTTGAAATATCTTTACTTCCAGTTTAAGTGCAACATTTTTTTTATTGACTGAAATCAAATAACTAATGGTTTTATTTTCTTTCAGCAATACTTAAATTCCTCGTGTTTCAGGAAAAGGAAAACCTCTCTCTTAGGAATTAATTAAAATGCTTCCTGAGTAGTTTTCACATTGGCCGTTGACAAGAAGGAAAGAAAAATCCCCAGTTCAAGTAAAAGCCAGGATAAGTCTATACAGCAAACTCTAACACAATATAGAAACACCCCAGCTGGTTTTAAATGAGTTTCTGGAAATCACTTAGCAAGAGCAACACAGATCTTTATGCGAGCTAATTTAACCACGAGATTCCTGTGTAACAAGGAGGCTAAATACAGCACTGTGCTGCCCCAGATTGGTTGTTTTTTTGTGCCTGAGCTAACCTGCTTAAAGCTATCCCAGTTACCAACACTAGAGACTACAGGGGAGTTAAATAATGTCATTATGAAGCCTGTTATCCTTGCTTGACAGAATTTAGGAGATCAAAACCTACAGTTTTAGCATATTGTGATAAAAGGAGGGCCACCAAGATGATCCAAGGGATGGAGCACCTCTCCTATAAAGACAGGCTGAGAGAGGTGGGGCTGTTCAGCCTGGAGAAGGCTCTGGGGTGATCTTATAGCAGCTTTCCAGTACTTAAAGGGGGCCTACAGGAAAGCTGGAGAGGGACTTTTTACAAGGGTGTGTAGTGATAGGACAAGGGGCAATGGCTTTAAACTGAAAGACGGGAGATTTAGATTAGAGGTAAGGAAGAAATTTTTCACTCTGAGGGCGGTTAGGCACCTGAACAGGTTGCCCAGAGAAGTCGTGGATGCCCCATCCCTGGAAGTGCTCAAGGCCAGGTTGGATGAGGCTTTGAGCAACCTGATCTAGTGGAAAGTGTCCCTGCCCATGGCAGTGGGGTTGGAACTAGATGATCTTTGAGGTCCCTTCCAACCCAAACCATTCTATGATTCTAAGGTCTATCAATGTGAAGAGTAGAAAAAGTATAATAATAATACTTATATTCAATTTCTTGTTAGTGAGACTTTTCGTAACTTCTCTAACCCCTTACGCCCTAGAAAGGTGAAGTGGCTTATTTTTGGCTGGAAACCACTCATTTTACTGAATTACATGAGTGACTCCATTTTGGAGTTTGTACATCCAAGGAACAACTGCATGGTTAGGCCTATTTTTGTTGTTTTAAAGAATTCAATGTCCACATATTACGTAATATGTTACTACTAATAAAATACTATATCCAGTTAGTAGGATAGTGTGATTTTACTGCGAAATAGTAGCCAAAGAAAAAAAGCCATTTGTTTTGAAAATACTATAATTACATACCCCAAATTTTGGAATTTGGCTTTTCTAATTATTTGACAGTTATTTACTATGTTAGTCCAGGGCAAAACAGATCATATCACGCTTCCAGAGCATAATTTCCTGTCCCTTTGGAGTTACTGTTGATTTCAAAGGGTTCAAAGCTTGTAGTGAATCGTGACCATTTAAAAATACATACATACTGTCATTTTTCTTTCCAAAAACATGTTTGGAAATTATTTTTTTTTTTATTTTTTTTTTTTTACGAAAAGTATAAATAACTTTAAATTGATGCAGTATCACTTATCTCGGAATATTAACTTACCTCCCACAGCATGCAGAATAGCTTCAGGTGCACATGTATCCCATTTCTTGCATCCAGGACTGGCAAATACATAAGCAGATGCCTTGCCTTCTATAAGTTGAATGATCTGTTATGAATAGAGAGTCATAGAATCATTGCAAAGGATCTAGGCGTTTAGAAATGGGTAAAAATAACACCAGGATACAGGGATTAGGTCAGTTTATTCTATGTACTTAACAGTCAGAAAAATAACACCAGCCATTCTCTTTCCAATATTACGAGAAATTATATTAAGATTTAGAAAGCTATACTGTATTACCATTCTGAATGATCTATTTTTGATTGTTATAAATACAGTCTATAGGATGAAAATCTGCTTTTAATTTCAGAAACAAGAATTCCCATCTTGTGCAAGTACTGAAAAAATAAAGTGGAATCTATCTCCATGTTGTCTTGGTGCCATTTTGGGTCTTGCACATGTTGGAGAAAAGAGATTGGAGGGTCTGTTTTTGACAGCCATGACAAAACTAAGCTTTAAAAATTGTAGCAAATTAGTATTTACTGTATGCAGAGAAATTTTGCAAAGGAAATATCACTGTGTGTTCCTATATTTATCCTTTCGTATGCGCTGCTACATAGTTGGAACAAAAACTGTATTGACATGAACAGGAGGAAATGTCTAATAATTGTAATGAAATTGAATACCCATTTAGTCATTATAGTCTTATAATTTTTTATTTTCTCCCCTAGAAACAGAATACTGGGGAAGATGGACCTCAGCCATGACCAGCACGGCCACTGCTGTGCAAATATACCTGTACCAAATTCTCTCTACTCCACAGCAGACTGAATGCTAGGAAAAGAAGTTGTGCTGGGGAAGGAGAAGGAAGTCTCCTGTACATTCATGCAAGTAAGCAAAAGATTTATTCAAAAATTATTTTTCTTTTTCCAAAGGTACCATCTCGCAGTAAAAACAAAAGATTTGGAGTTTTCATACCTTGTTTCCTGCTCCTCCAACTCTGATGACACTGTCTGGGTTCAAGGCACTGATGCAGTCATTTACCAGGGTACTGCTGTGAGAACGGGTGGTAATGACAATGTGTTTCCCAGCAGGTGCTTCTGTGAGGTGAAATCCAAAGGCACCTATGCCCAGGACTCCCCAGATTGTCCTGCCCAACACAGCATCAGCTCCTGCCTATGAAAAAGGTACAGAGGTCCGGGTGATGGTTAATCGTAGTGATCAGCACTTAAAGCACAAACAGAAAGGAGTACCTAGAGACAACTTTGCCTCTCAGGGAGTATAATGTTAATACTGGGTTATACATTTGAACAATGGCACTTAAAAAGAACTACTCTAGAGCCCAGAGTGAGAAATTGGCTCTC